TTTATTAACAACCTCCTGACACATTTCAGTAATGCTTCTTTTTCTACAATTTTTGGCTATGTACCCTTTTTAATCACTTCTTCCTGTAAATATTTTGTATGATTTTCTGTAGAGAGAATAAAAGTTAACCCTGGAGAGTTTTTGTGGGTTTTTTTAGCTTGATTAAAACTTGGGATTCTCTTCAACATTAATAGCTTAAAATAAATTTCAGCTTCTCAACTCATTATTAATATAAAGTTTTAAGATTGTCAAATTTGGAGAAATCCCTATCAAGTTTCTTTTTGTTTTTGAGATTTTATTTATTTATTTGACAGAGAGAGAGAGACAGTGAGAGAGGGAACACAAGGAGGGGGAGTGGGGAGAAGCAGGCTTCCTGCTGAGCAGGGAGCCTGAAGTGGGGCTCGATCCCAGGACCCTGGGATCACAACCCGAGCCTAAGGCAGATGCCTAATGACTGAGCCACCCAGGCACCCCTCAAGTTTCATATAGAAGCTGTAAAGTCTGGGAAGTTTTCCCACAGACTACCTACTGGCTCCATATATTTCAAATCTTGTTTCTCCTCCACTACCCACATACTTTCTGTATGAGGCTCTGTAAAAAGCATTCATGTATGTGTTCTTGTACAGAAAGCTGAGTGAGTAGGCACCGTAGCCAGTGGGAGTATCTCTGGAAGCCCTTCGTACCCCAGGACAGTTGTCAATAGCTTACCTATTCAGGGAACTGACTGCCAACCACATACATAAATCTCACAGAACCCAAATTAAAAGTATCCATAAGTCAACTGTCCCTGAGCCCAATCCCAAAATCCCCATGGCCACTCCAAAGGGGGTGGGTGAGGGGGACACAGAGGTCCGAGTGGAAAGAGACAGGAGTCGTAACTGATTATAGTTAAAATATATTTTGCAAATTTTATAAACCATATCATCATGTGAATCCATTTTTGACCTTGACCCTTTCCAAAGCCTTAGGAGGGACCTGGGGAAGTGACAGGCCCTTACTTAGCTCAAGCTGCCTTTACTTCCCAGTAAAAGCCACCTCTGGGCTCCCTAGCGTTTTCGGCCCTCAGAATGCCACTACCAATCAGTGAAAAACACATGCATGAGCTCTTCAAGAACTCATCTCCATAATCACAGTCGTGAAGAGTGGAGACAGAGTGCTGTCTTGTCAGCACAGACATCCGGCACCAGGTTAGGTGGTTTCGCATCTACACGTTCATTTATTTCTCACAGCGACACTGAGGAGCACTACCCCCACGTTCAGACTGGGAAACGGGCTCAGAGTCACGAAGGAGCAGAGCAGAACCCAGGGCAAAATCCCAGAAGCCCTGACTCTATGTTCAAAGGCTGCTTCCTACAGCCTTTTTTCCCACAGAATAGAAAACATTTAAGTATAGAGATGAAGGAGGAATTAAAAAAAAAGTTACCTATAGCCCCATCACCTAGACACAACCTTAATAAGATTTTGGTATATTTTCATGTTTTATAGAACATAGCAATTGAAATTATTACATTAAATAAACCTATTTTTCCTCATTTTTAAAGCAACATATGTTCCTTGTCAAAAATAGGGAAAATCTTGAAAAGACACTGAAAACCATCTGTATTAGTCTTCTGGGGCTGCTATCACAAAATCACATGGCTTAAAACAACAGAAATGTATGTTCTTGTTGCTGTGAAGGCTAGAAATCCACCATCAAGCTGTTAGGAAGGCTGCTTCCCTCTGAGGGCTGTTGGGGGAATCAATTCCACTCCTCTCTCCCGGCTTCTGGGGGGTCGCTGGCAGTCTGTTTTTGTCTGCACGGTGCTCTCCCTGTGTGCAGGTCTATGTCTTTCTTAAAAGGACATCAGTCATATTTTATTAGGGTCTCATCCTACTTCAGGATGACCTCATTCTGATTTAACTAATTACATCAGCAAAGATCTTGTTTCCAAATAAGGTCACATCGGCCAAGGGTTAGGGAGCCGACACACGAATTTGAAGGGGAGACAATTCAACCCATCACACTATCCCAAAACCTATCAGTGAAAGAAAACCTGTGCTGGCAATTGATTATTGGGTAGTTTTTAAAAGTACGGCCACAAATTATTTTGACACTTCAAGTGGGATCCAAGTCCCCTTTCCTTGAGTCTGGGCAAGGCGACAACAGCTCTGCTCAAGGGTGCTAGTATTCAAGTCATGCGAGCCCAGGCACTAGACCACCAGACGGGGAGTGATGGAGCTTCCAGATGCTTCCAGCCCCAACTGTCAAGTCATTCCCAGTTTGAGTCTTACCACCTGAGGTCCCAGACCTACTGAGTAAAGACAAAGCACTCCTACTGCATCCTGTCCCAATTCCCAACCCACAGAACCTGGGAGCACAAGAAAACAGTTATTGTTTAAGCCACTCATTTATGGGGGAACTAGTTACACAGAAATAGTACCTAGAAATGTTATGGTTCTTAGTTTTTTTTAATGTACCTTTAAAACTATATCTCCCTGAAGTGAGTCACTGACTTCTTAGATCAAAAGGAAATGACAAATTGTTTATCTGATTCTGAGATTTTCTTTAAGAAATAGGAAAGCAGATAAGCTACATTTCTAAACATTAGCATCGTATAAAATGAATATAACGATTCCAACCATAGGGAACACGGGGACATTCCCAAGTCCCAGGTGGAAGAAGAGACAAAGTAAAGCCTTCTAACTCAGTGGCTGCTAACACATGATTTACTAGACTCACCCATTTAAAAGTACAAGTCAGGCAAACATCAGAGTCTTAACAGATGCAGAAAACATGTGGGCTCTTGGAAACGAAAACGATCAACATGCCACATGGCCAGAGGATTCAGCCCTCGTTTTGAGAAAGGGGGAGTGTTAGTATCTCAACCAGGTAAACAGTTAAGCCAATATTAACACATACTAGAACCAAGTCAGTTTAAGTGGTCATCAAATAATAGTTCTGAAACAGAAGGTAAAACATGAGGTGCAAGAAAGACATTTCCTGGGAAATGGGAGGAACCTCAGGAGGAACAGATCAGGGAGGCTCTGCAGACCAAGACTCACCCTCTGAACACACAACCAACCAGAGCACGCGCAGGCCGATCGAATAGCTGCATTTTGGTCCAAAGTGAGTAAGGCTATTCTTATAAATCCTGTGGCTCATTATTTCCTCATTACTGAGTTGTTCATTACTGAGTTTGACCACTCTTTTAGGTAGTAGAAGTCTTCAAGCATTGTTAACGAAGGGACAGGATGGCCCATGATGCCGTGCAAATCTGAAAGCAAGCGTTATTGCCTTGAAAGACAACGGACTTAGCTTGATATAAGGTGTTCCCAGCACTTTCCCCTGGAAACTATTAGATGTCATTTAATTGTCTTCTCATCTTGGATACTGCAGAAAAGCCTAAGGCCAGTGGGATTTTTATTTCTTGCATAGCTAACTTGCTTCTTTTTGCCTAAATGCTCATAATATCTCTTTCCTTTGTCCTTGTAATATAAAAATGTTGCCATTCTTGGGCGCCTGGGTGGCTCAGTCGTTAAGCGTCTGCCTTCGGCTCAGGTCATGATCCCAGGGTCCTGGGATCGAGTCCCACATCGGGCTCCCTGCTCGGCGGGAAGCCTGCTTCTCCCTCTCCCACTCCCCCTGCTTGTGTTCCTGCTCTCGCTATCTCTCTGTCAAATAAATAAATAAAATCTTTAAAAAAAAAAAAATGTTGCCATTCTTTTTCTTGGAATGCAGTGAACCCTCTTGATCTGTGTATTTAGGAAACTCGTGTTAAATTAAGTCTTTAGTTGTGACTTCTATTTTCCCATAGGATTAGCAATCATAGGTTGAATTATTATCCCCTAATTATCACCTCCCAGGCTGGGTCACTATTTTTAATCTTTTCCTCTAGATTCTGAGAACCTTCCTCAATATGTCCTTTAAATGACTGATTTGATATTTGACAACATCCTTGAGTGTGTAGAATTGAACTCTGTTATGGTGTCTTTAATTTTCCTTTAATCCCATATATATTTTTTTTTTTAAAGATTTTTATTTATTTATTTGAGAGAGAGAATGAGAGACAGAGAGCATGAGAGGGAGAAGCAGACTCCCTGCCGAGCAGGGAGCCCGATGCGGGACTCGATCCCAGGACTCCAGGATCATGACCCGAGCCGAAGGCAGTCACTCAACCAACTGAGCCACCCAGGCACCCCCCATATTTCTTGCACTGATTCAGACATGTTGAGCTCTCAACTCCCCCAAATTCTAGGCATTCTCTCACCTCAAGGGCTTCTCACGTGGTACTCTTTTCCCCAGAACACAACCCCCCTCAGTTCACCTGGCAAAGTTCATGTTTCTCCTCTTCCTCCTCACCCTCACCTTCGAAGAAGGGAAATAAATCCACACTTGGTGTTTACTAGCAGACACAGCATCATCATTGCCCCTGGCCTCACTCTGCCTACCTGGGTGTGTCTGGAACATCCTTCTCAAGCTACAACCCAGCCTGCTTTGCACAACTCCTGTCCCCCCTCCCCTCATCCACATTCACTGCTAGACAGAAATGGGACACACCATATCCCTGCCGCCCTGGGGAGGTAGTTCAAAGTCGGAAGGCCTTCTCCTTTTGGTCAATGCCATTTTAAACCAGGAGTCCCTGACTCTGTCTTTTTAAACAAATCTCAGGGACATGGACATTACATTTCAAGAAGCATCCTGGAACACACTTTCGAGCCTTCGTTATGTCCATATATTATATTAGAGATTCTTACCGCAGAGACCTAAATACTGTGGGATATGCAGACAGCTGAGGCACACATACACGAAAGCACAACTGCACCAATGTTATGAGTATTCTCAGACATCAGGTAAGCTGTACAGCCAGGAGGGAGACACCAGCCTCCCAGGAAAGAGAATGGTCCCCGCTTTCGAGATGGCTCCCTTTTGGCAGGCAGGGGACTCATCTACCAGTGGCTCCATCTCCTGGATTTTCACAGAATCTCAGGGTTGAGAGATTCCATTCATTCAATACAAGAACATGTATGAAAACTGGCTTCTGCTTCCTGCTGAGGGAATTCGGGTCACGAGAATTTATTTTCCGGTAAGATCTCACAGATAACTAAAATGGCTTGTGATTCACTAATGCATATGTAGAAAAAGCATTTAGTAACGGTTCTAGTTGTGATTCTTTTGTTAAAAGCAATTACCATATTTGTTTGGGTTGAGAAGAAGTTAAATATATGTATCATATCTAGCAAGTCTGCCTCATAATACTGGTGTATATGTTCCTGAAGAGTTTTGTAAAAACAGTTTCTTATATTAACATATATTTCAGAGCACATTTCCTTTTAGAAGAATTACATTGTGGGGGCGCCTGGGTGGCTCAGATGGTTAAGCGTCTGCCTTCGGCTCAGGTCACAATCCCAGGGTCCTGGGATCCAGCCCCACATCGGGCTCCTGGCTCAGCAGGGAGTCTGCTTCTCCCTCTCCCCCTGCTCATGCTCTCTCTCTCTCTGTATTTTGTGTCTCAAATGAATACATAAAATCTTTAAAAAAAAAAAAATTACATTGTGAAATTTTGTAAGTGAAGATTTCTTTTGAAAAATTATAACTGTCTGGGACGCCTGGGTAGCTCAGTCAGTTAAGCAACTGCCTTCAGTTCAGGTCATGTTCCCAGGGTCCTGGGATCGAGCCCTGCATCGGGTTCCCTGCTCTGTGGGGAGCCTGCTTCTCCCTCTCCACTCCCCCTGCTTGTGTTCCCTCTCTCGCTATGTCTCTGTCAAATAAATAAATAAAATCTTTAAAAAATATATATAACTGTTGGGGCGCCTGGGTGGCTCAGTCGTTAAGCGTCTGCCTTCAGCTCAGGTCATGGTCCCAGGGTCCTGGGATCAAGCCCCACAATGGGCTCCCTGCTCCACGGGAAGCCTGCTTCTCCCTCTCTCACTCCCCCTGCTTGTGTTCCCTCTCTCACTGTGTCTCTCTCCATCAAATAAATAAATAAAATCTTTAAAAAAAAATATATATATATATAACTGTCTTTTTATGTTAGGTAAATTTTCATTTTTTTTAAATCTTTCATTTCTTTAATTTAGGTGCATCTATCCCTTTATAATGTCAATTTATTGAAAAAAGATAATGATGTAATAGGATCTAATTTTAAAAATTAAAGACACGCAGACCCTAGGATATTAGACTATTTCAGAACACTTGGGTTTTAGTTTTTTAAATCTGAAGGTTAGTATTAAATGACATTGGCTTTCATAAATTTGAAATTCATATTCTCTTCACCAGAATCAAGGTAATTCTATGGCATCTACTTCTCCAGCTCTGCCTTCTTCTCAACCTATAGGATGTTGTCATGTGCATATCCTACAACCTTCAGAGTATTAAAATGTTCCCTATCAGGTAGAGGAAGCAAGTTGGAGCCAAAGAGAAGAAAGACACCAGATGGAAGCAAAAGAGTAGAGTAGGGGGGTACACATTCAAAGCGCCCCACCTGCACTGCTCCCACCCCAGAGCCACCATTCTGGAAGTCACATGAACTACCCTTATAAACTTCAAAACACTCCCTTCTTGGCAGGCAAGTCCCAACTGGGTTTCTACAATCTGCAACCGAAACTTCACTAACACAACCACTTTATGTAACACCTATTTTGCTATAAAGTTGGGCATAAACAATTTTTATAATTTTTAATCTTATATTTACACAGCTCTCCACAACTGTCTAAACACTGCTATGCACATTCTCTTTGGATACGTAAAAATCTTTGGGTGAGATAGTAAAGCAGCCTCGACCCTAGAGATAGCATTACTTAAAAATAACAACCAAAAAAATGTCTTTATTGATAAGACAAAGAATCATTTACATTTTGCCCAAGGTCACACAGCTAGCAGGTGCAAAACTGGAATTGAGCTGGAGTCTTCTGGGGGGAGGGGGGGTGTTTACACCCCCCCCAACCGCCGATGTGCTCATTCCTAGCCTGCTGCTCAGTGCATCACTCCACACCTAAGCACATGGGTCGAATATGCTACAGAGACTGGCTCTAGAAAGGAAACCTTCCCACAATGTAAAGATCTACTTTCTACTTGGTCTATTTCGTAATGTGGTTTTGTCAAACAGCATCTCCTTAACACCAGGTCTACTTGCACGGCTACGATTTTACTTACTAAAAGCTAATAAAGAATAGTGACACCTTGTGGCAAAAACGTATGGATTCATGTGCTATCACCCACGCTCACTTTACAGACTTGTCCAAAGGCCTTATTAAGTCGTTAAGACAACAGCAAAAATTCTGGAAAGAATAATCTAAATGTATAGGTTCTCCTCATAACTAGATCTCTCTCCAATTCGCTCTACTTGGGCTTCAGTCCCCACGTCCCAAAATTACTGTTACTCTCAAGTTCCAGACGCCATCCATGTGGGCAGACCCAATGATTACTTCTCGGTTCTATCTTACTTAAGCCCTCGTACTATTTGACCAGGTTCAGCCCGCTGCTCTTGAAACCCTGGGTTTCAGCAACGCTATGATGTTTCTCTCCTACCTCTAAAGCCGTTCAAGACTTCCCAGGGCTCACAAGTACCAAACTTAGATCCCTGGCCCCAACCTTTCCACTGAACTCCAGTCTCACATCTCCAACCTACCAACATGACACATCCGTTTGATGTTCAATAGCCTCTCAAAATTAAGATGCCCCAGTGGGGCTCTTGATTTCCTGCTTCTTCCACCCCATCGACTACATCTCAGTAAATGACATGATTATTATGTTTATTTTACTCAAGTCAAAAACTTAGAGGTCATCTTTTCTTCCTCTATTACTCCCCCTCTATCTAATCAATCAGTAAGTTACCTGGACTCATTCTCCAAAATGTCCCCAAGGTGCCCCTTCTGTCCATTTTCCCTATGATCCCCTAACTCAAGCCACATCTCCTCTCTTAGCCTTAGCACCTTCCCGACTAGTTTTATTCTTCACCTTTTACAATCCATTCTTCACATGGCAATCGGTGATCTTTGTAAAAGAGAACTCGGGGGCGCCTGGGTGGCTCAGTTGGTTAAGCGACTGCCTTCGGCTCAGGTCATGATCCTGGAGTCCCGGGATCGAGTCCCACATCGGACTTCCTGCTCGGCAGGGAGTCTGCTTTGTCCTCTGACCCTATCCCCTCTCAGGTGTTCTCTCTCTCTCAAATAAATAAATAAAATCTTTAAAAAAAAAAAAAAAAAAGAGAGAGAACTCGGAATGTATCATCATCCCACCTTAAAACCCTTGAATGGCTCCCCATAATCCAATCCTCCCCATTCTACAAGGCCCGACCTGACTGGACTCCTAGCTACCTCTAAAAACTCATTTCCAGCCTCTCTCCCCCTTGCTCTCCATGTCCTAGACACGCCGGCCTTCCTTCTGTTACTTAAACATGACAACTTTGCTTCTGCCTTGGAACAGTGCACCAGCTGCTCCCCTCTGCCTGCACTGCTCTCCCCCTCAACTTGCCATAGTCGGCTCCTTCCTATGGCAGACAGGTCTCATGTTAACTAGTACCTTCTCAGCCTTTTGCTGCAGTCAATCTAAAGCAGCCCCTAAGACACTCCCTATCCTAACACACTGTTGTGTTTTCATGACAGCTTTTATCATTCCATGAAATCGTTTCTTTTTCAATTCATTTGCCTCTTATGTGTCTCGCTTCACTAGAATGAGAGCCCCCTCTATTCCTAGTTCTTACTAAAGTGCCTGGAGTAAGGAAGGTGCTTGATGTTTGTTGAATAAGAAGTGCTGTGTACTGTTGGTGGGAATGCAAGCTGGTGCAGCCACTCTGGAAAACAGTATGGAAGTTCCTCAAAAAGTTCAAAATAGAGCTACCATAAAATCCAGCAATTGCACTACTGGGTATTTATACCAATGATACAAATGTAGGGATCCGAAGGGGTACATGCACCCTGATGTTTACAGCAGCAATGTCCACAATAGCCAAACTGTGGAAAGAGCCAAGATGTCCATCAACAGATGAATGGATAAAGATGTGGTATATATATATATATATATATATATATATATATATATATATATGTACAATGGAATATTATGCAGCCATCAAAAGGAATGAGATCTTGCCATTTGCAACGTGGATGGAACTGGAGGGTATTATGCTGAGTGAAATAAGGCAAACAGAGAAAGACATGTATCATATGGCCTCACTGATATGAGGAATTCTTAATCTCAGGAAACAAACTGAGGGTTGTTGGAGTGGGGGTTGGGGTGGGAGGGATGGGGTGGCTGGGTGATAGACACTGGGGAGGGTATGTGCTCTGGTAAGCGCTGTGAATTGTGCAAGACTGTTGAATCTCAGATCTGTACCTCTGAAACAAATAATGCAATATATGTTAAAAAAAAAAAAAAGAAGATGATAGCAGGAGGGGAAGAATGAAGGGGGAAGTCAGAGGGGGAGACAAACCATGAGAGACAATGGACTCTGAAAAACAAACTGAGGGTTCTGGAGGGGAGGGGGGTGGGAGGATGGTTAGCCTGGTGATGGGTATTAAAGAGGGCACGTTCTGCATGGAGCACTGGGTGTTATACACAAACAATGAATCATGGAACACTACATCAAAAACTAATGATGTAATGTATAGTGATTAACATAACAGTAAAAAATTTTTTAAAAAAGAAAAAGAAGTGCTGTGTAAATTCTCTTACTTTCTCTTACCTATGCTTAGAAATATTTCAGGGGTATCTGGATGGTTCAGTCAGAAGACCGTGCCTCTTGATCTCAGGGTTGTGAGTTTGAGCCCCACACTGGGTTTAGAGATTACCTAAAAAATAATAAAACCTTTAAAAAAAAAAAAAAAGAAATATTTCAGAAACTATAGCCATTCACTCATTTTCATACTCTAAAAGGAAAAGAAGCGCCCCCTTCTTTTCTTGGATAAACCTGTGCTATTCATTCAGTCATTCATTCGTTCATTCATTCATTCAATAAACTATTAGAGCCCGACACTGAGCCATGAGGTAAGGCCAATTCCCATGCTCAAGAACCTCGTGGCCTAGTTGAGGAGGCAAACATGTTAGCCAAGTTATTGTAAATGCCACGCGGCAAATAAAAGATGGAAATATGATCAAGGACTGTGTGAGCCTCAGTTAAAGTTTTCAGAAATGTGTCCCTGGAGAAAACAACAGGAGCTGTGGCTTAAAGGATGAGCAGAAAATCGGCCAGAAGGGATAAAGGGATGGGTGCCTGGGTGGCGCAGTCTGTTAAAGCACCTGGCTCTTGTTTTTGGCTCAGGTCATGATCTCAAGGTCATGGGATCGAGCCCCGCCATTGAGCTCCATGCTCAGCATGGAGTCTGCTTTAGGTTCTCTCTCCCTTTGCCATTCCTCCCTGTTCTCCTATGCTCACTCTCCCTCTTTCTCATCTAAAATAAATAAATAAATAAATCTTTTTAAAAAGGAAAAGGGATAAAGGGAAAGCATTAATCATAGAGACAGAAAATACAACAGTCTGCACAGTGGGACTATTGTGCAGGTTCAGCTACTCTGGGGGGAAAAAGTACAAGTAGAAACTAGCAAGATCAGAGACTGGAAAAATAGGCAGTACCAGGTAGTGAAGAGCTTACAGCACATGTAAGGAACTTGGATTCACAGGGCACAGAGGTTACAGAAATGTTTGAGGAGGCACCTAGCATGATCAGAGTAGCATTTCAGTTAGACCATTCTGTGGTTGCACAGAAGAGCCAACTCAGGCTATCTGGATCAGGTCAAAAGCTGGTAAGAATAGTAGGTAGGGATGCAAAGAGGTCTCAGAATCAAGAAATATTTAGGAGGTAAAATGGGCAGGACTTGGTGATTATTGGGGATATGGAGAATGAGAGAAAAAGAGGGAGAAAAAGAGAAGCATAGCAAGAGAGGTTTAGGGATGGGAAGTTAATTAGCATAAGCTGATACTTCAGTGCATAGGTTCTAGACTCAGGCCGATAAGGGTTTATATCTGTTTTGTCACTTACTTGCTGTATGACTTTGGTAAAGTGACTTGAACTTCTTTAAGCTTCTGTTGCCTTATAAGTAGAAATGATCTAAGAACCTACCTCACAGGGTCATTGCAAGAACTACATGAAATCATGTATGGAAAGTGCTTCTGCTGTATCAGAAACACCCCCGTTAATCAGTAAGGAATTTGAAAACTATTATCTACCTACCTGCATCGGCAGTCACATCTACCTTTTGTATTACTATGGATGAACTGTACATGCTTCCAGGGAAGGCCAGCCCCTCCAATTGTTCACGAGAACCTATCCCTTCTTGCTTACATCATCTCATCAATTCTTGGTTCTCTCCCCTACAATGTCCGTTCCGCCCTCTCTACTCACTCCTAGAGCATCCCCAAGTACGGTCAACTCTCCCATTAAAAATATAAAACTTCCTCTTGGCTGAGCTTCCCTCTAGCTACCAGCGTGTTTCTTTCTTTTCCTTTGCAGCAAACCTCCCTCCTCCACTCTCTTCTAAATCTCTAACTGAACTTTGTCCTCCCTAACTCCACTACAGGCACCCTTGTTCCACCGCCAACCATCTCTATGTTAGAGCCAATGTAGATCTCATTGTTGGATCCAGTGTGCACAGCTTGCTTGACCCATGAATTGCATTAGCCATCCTTACTCCCTTCCCCTCGAGAAACACTTTCATCACGTGATTCCCAGTGACCAGACTTTCCGCAATTTCTTCCGTCTCCCTGGCCATTCTTTGCCAGGATCCTTTGTTGGTTATTCTTCATCTCTGCAGCCTCTAACTATGCTCAAGGGCTCATCTGTCTTCTCTCTACGCTCCTTAGCATTTTCACCAAATCTCATGGCTTTAAATAGCACCTTTATGCCATTAACCCAAAAATCCGGATCTCTATTCTGGACCAATCCCCTGAGGCCCCAGACTCCCATGTCAAACTGTCCACTCAACACCTCCACTTGGAAGACTAACATGCCTTTCGAGCTCAGTGTACCTAAAACTGAACTCCCTCCAAAAAATGCTCCTGCTCCAAAACCTGTTCCTCTCCACTGTTCCCTCTATCAGTAAGTGGGAACTCCATTCTTGGTATAGCTTCTAGCTAGGACTGAGCAGTAGCTTGAATCAGACAACACTCTTACAGGAATAACTGTAAAGGCCGAAACTAAAACTAAAAACAAAAATAAAAACCACACAGACTCAAGGCACTTGAGAACCAAACCAGTGAGGACATGAGGGACTGGGATCCCAGGGAGAAAGAAAATTCATAGGGATACAGAACTTCTCCATTGCTTTTCTCCTGGGGCATTTGCTGAGTTTCGGAGCAGGGCATTTAGGGGCAAGCAGAAAGCAGTGGTCAGAGGTGTCAGGAGTCTTTCAGATCCGGGCAAATAAAAATTATAGTTGAGAACTACAGACAGAACTTGAAGGGACAAGACCCCAGACAAAGGGGGATCACAGAGAAATAAGACTGACAATTTGTTTGGCTTTTATCCTTATGGCATTTGCTGAACTCTAAGCTGCAAGGACACTAGAAATCAAGAAACCAAAACACTGCAAAGTGGCTAAAAAGGTAAGCAAACCTTTCAATAACCTCACAGACTTGGGAATACAAAAATTGGAGTGCAAGGTCCCCAGAGATGGGTACCCGTTGAACATCCCAGGCTTTCTGCTGAGATTCCTAAAGGCTTATGCCCTGAGATCAGGGCAAACCAGAAAGCAATCAGCCCTCCCAAAGCCTGAATCCTCGATTAAAGGTCATCTACTCTAATTGCCAGCCAGAATAAAATTAAATCCTCCAGAAAGAGAACATCAGCCAGAGCCTCTACACAATGTTTAACATCTAATCAAAAACTTTAAAGTGATCTTTAACTCCTTTCCTTCTCTAGTGTTCCATTTCTAATCCATGTGTATCTACCTTCAAAATAGATTCAGGATCTCTCTGACTGCATCTCACCCCTCCATTGCCTGGTCCCTGATCCAAACCACTTTCTCAGCCAGGCTTACTGGTTCGATTTGGTCTCTCTGCTTCTGCTTTGCCCCGCTTCAGTCTATTCTCAACCCAGTAACTAGAATAGAAATGCTTTTTTAAAAAATTAAAATATGTCAGGGCACCTGGGTGGCTCATTGGGTTATGTGTCTGCCTTCAGCTCAGGTCATGATCTCAGGGTCCTGGGATGGAACCCCATGTCTTCAGGCTCCAGGCTCAGCGGGGAGTCTGCTTCTCCCTCTCCCTCTGGCCTTCCCCCTGCTCGTGCAGGCTCTCTCTCTCTCAAATTTAAATAAATAAATAAAGTCAAGCTTCTACTTAAAATCCACTGGGGTTTTTAACCTCAGAGTAAAAGTTCGTATTTACACTGACTTCATTACCTCTGACTTCATCTCCTAATGCTCTCCTCTGCTCCACCCACCCTAGCCTCCTTAGTCTTACCTTGAACACACCTGGTTTGTACCTGCCTGGAATGTTAGTCTCAAGTTCTGTTGCTTCACCTCCTTCACATCTTTACTCAAATGTCACCTTCTCAGTGAAGCCTTTCTTGACCAATCTAAAACCTCTAGGTCCCCCTCCCTCTCTGACACCTCCTAGCCTGCGTTTTAGCTCTTATAATTATCTAACATATATATTTTACTCACTTAGAGTTCTCCAAGGGCCTTGGGCTTTTCAGCCTTTGATCAAGCCATTCTGAATGTACATCCCCAAGACTCTCACCAGTCAAAACACTATCACCCATCAAACACTATTAAAATGTCACTTTCTCCTGACATGTTAGGATTATTTATACCATACCTACACACTGGCTTTAGATCTTAATCTTCAAAGTGCAGGAGGAATCTAGATCTTAATATAATGGCTCATCATTTACCAGACACAGTTCTAAGCATTTTTTACTTACTAACGCTTTTAACCCTCACGACAAACCCTAACAGATAAAATTCTACTACCCCCAATTTTACCGATCAGGAAAATGAAGCACAAAAGCCTGCCAGAGGCTGTGGGCTCGGTACACTGCGGAACCTGGATTCAAATCCAGACAGCACTTAGCTGAGCTGAAGGAGTGAATGCAAGTGTAAATAACTGATCATTCAGGGGTACATACACTTCACTGACACAGACTAGAATATCAGCATTGCTAATACTAAAACCAAAGCATCTGCTCTTCTAAGCACAGACCCACGCCAGGACGCTTCGTTCTCCAGAGTCCGGGGCCTGAGAGATTAAGATACAGGAGGCCTAACAGACTCAACAAAGCACCCACCCCTTTGCCAAAATTAGACGTCTGCGGGGCGCCCCTGTTGCTCGCGCGCCCGAGGATCCGCTGAGGTGCTGGCGACGGAGCGGTAAGAGGAAAAGGAAGGCGGGAAAGGGAGACACTGCTGCGCAGCGCGGCGGCAGCCCGCAGGCCAAAGTGGAGAGGTGTGGGTGCTGGGAGACATCAGTAAGCCCTCGCCGCGCCCTAGCACGTAACAGAGCTGGGAGCCGGGGGCCACGTGCGTGCGATCACAGGTGAGCAGCCCCGAGCAGCGGCGCGGCGGCAGTGGCGGGAGCAGAAACAGCCGAGGGCGCCCCTTAAGGAACGGGAGCACGTGGGCCTGGAAGAATGGCGCCGACACCAGCCCGGCAAAGCCAGACTCCAAAGTGGGAACGAGGACCGCCGCGGTGCCTGCCCAGTTCCCCGAAGCCCCCAAGCCCGACTCAGGCAGGAGAGCACTCTTAACCCGTCGGCTCACCTGCCGGGGAGGCGCCAAGGGGCGGAGTCGAGGGCCGGAAGTGCGCCGGAGGGCGGGCCTGCCCGCGAAAACCGCCGGCCGGAACTGCCAGGACGTCCCGCCCCCAGGCGGAACTCCGGGTTGCTGGGCAACCGGAGTGGGCGCCTTCGGCAGGCTCAGTGTTCCCCGGAACAAGCCGAGTGTAGCCCCCACCTCTTGCCCTGGCAACCTCCCGTCCCGCCCGCCTTCCTTCTTGCCGCCTCTCCTTGCGTCGCGGAATCCCTGCCCTTGGCACTACGCACACGTCTGCGGCTCCCACTACCACTTAGCGCCCACCTGCCGGAAAGCCAGTCTCCACCCGAAGCGAAGCGACCGGGCCCCAGGCGTGGCTTCCAGGCTCACAGACCGCAGCCCCCCAGCCATGGGCACCTACACCTACACCAGCCGGCCCCGGGCCCTGCCCTGCCAGCGCCGCCGTTACCGGGACAGCATAATGCAGCCGTGAGTGAGCAACCAGCCCCTGTGTGATCTCCACCTGCCCCAGTCCCGGAGCCGCGGGGCCGCGGGCCCCTTCGCCCTGGCAAACCTGCCTGTGCGGCTTTCTCCCCTCCACACCCTGCCTAAATAAAATTTCTTCCCTGAAGAAGTCTCCCGTGGCGTGGAGGAATGAAGCAAGAAGGGGCACGGTCGGCCCGGCCTCCCGTAGGGAACGTTTCGTGATAATGAGCGGCGGGCGTGATCGATTAACATGTACAGGAAACCCGCTGGTTTCACAACTCTCGAGTCAGCTAACTACTGTTGGCCAACGATATGCACCTCACTTTCTCCTGAGTCCACAGTACTGTGAAGCTGGTTTAATAACTCCATTATGCAAATGGAGAAGCAGGTACTACGGTGTCAGAGGCGACAGCATGTCCAGAATAACAGCCAAGTAAAGCTCTTCCCACACCAGTCTTTGGTCAGGAATCAGGTTATCTTTCCATGCTGGACCCCAAATTGTATTTTTACATTGCTGAGTATTTATTTGCAAATATTCAAATATCCACTTCATTATTATCCATAATAATGTTTACGGGCCTTTCTAAAGCATACAGTTCTTTCTATAAGCCTCAAATTTTGGAACCGGCCAAACTTCCCAAGCATGCGGGCTCCATGGAAGCTGGAACCTTTGTGTCTTTTGTCCACCTGGGATTGTTCCTGACCTATGGGAAGCACTTACACGAATTGTTGAAGTAACTGATGGAACACATCAGCCAAGTAACTCTTGATGCGTATTTCAAACGCTAAGTCTAAATTCATGATTACCTTATTATGGCAAATAAAGACCTTCTTAAATAAGAAATGCCTGTCACTTTAAAGAAACCAAAATGGAAATTTTAAATTTTTTTTTTTTAAGATTTCATGTATTTGAGAGAGAGGGAGAGAGAGACAGAGATAGCGACAGAGATAAAGAGAGAGCACCAGCAGGGAGGAAAGGGAGAAGCAGGCTCCCCACTGAGCAGGGAGCCCAGACGCAGGGCTCGATCCCAGGACCCTGGGACCATGACCTGAGCCGAAGGCAGATGCTTAACTGACTGAGCCACCCAGGCACCCCGGAAAATTTAAATTTATAGAGGGACTATTTATATTATAAAAGGATTCCATTTAAAAACACTTTCAAAAATACTTTCTGGTGGCTTTAAGTAGTTGCTCACAAATCATTACTATTAAATTACACCAACAAATGAAATAAGAATCAATGGTGGTTCATTAGGAATGATTTTTTCTTATAGCTAGTTGATAAGCAAGTTGCAGGACCTTGCTTATATTGAAGCAATCTGTTGATTAAAGCTATTGGAAGAAGTGTGTGTTTTTGATTTTTCAGTTTAAAATTATACTCAGTGGTGATTTTCAATTTATAAAAGTAATATATGCTTGTTCTTATATTACTCCTTTACACCTCCGTACTTGAGCATATGTACATTTATATGAGGTTTATTTCCAAAATTGAATCATACTACACATATTAATCTGCAATTAGCTTCCCCCCCTTTTTTATAACCTCTAATTCTTTTTTTTCTAATTTCTTTACATATACCTATACATACATACTTAATTTATATAAATAGACTCCTGTGGTTCATGCTTGGGTACATTCTTAGTGCCCAACCCCCTTCCCTTGTAAACTTGCTCTTTCCCTCCTGTCCCCAAGGTAAACCTTGTTAATGCCCTTACATGAATGTTTCTGGACTTTTCTCCACACTCACATGTTTTTGTATGAATATATAAATATATACATACAAGTACACACGGGTTTGTCTACCTCATAGCAATGTTAACATTATACACAGTTCTCAACATCTTCCTTTTCTCACTTAATTCTTTGCAAAAATCCTTCCAATTATTTTTAATAGCATGATATCCCCTGGGGTATGGATGTACTACACATTCTTAAAATTTTCCAATTTTGATAGGTATTCAGTTTGCTTCAAGTTTTTACCACAAAGAGGAAGGTTTCAATAAACAACTTTATTTGCTGGCCTTTTTATTTCTATGAAACAGATTCCTGGGATGGGATTGTTAGGTCATGTATATTTTTAACATGAACAGATGGAACAATATGCCTTTTCTTTAGTAATGTTTAAACATATCCTTTTCCCCTACATCCTCACCAGCAATAGGCATTACGGATTTTTCCTTCTTTTTGGCTTTTGATAGTGTGAAATCAAAACCAAAATTTTTCCTCATTATTATGTTCATTAGCACTAGGGGGTTTTAATCAAGAAAGCATCCTTTAGATTTTTTCTATTTTAAAAGATCACTGGGTACAATGTATAGGACAGATTCAGAGAAAAATGTTGTTCTAGACAGTTAAGAAACTCTTGCTGCAGTCCAGGTAAAAGATAGTGGTGGCAATGAGCGATGGAGAGAGATGAAAACGATTTGGGGAGTAGAATCAGTAAGACTTGCTGGATACAAGCAGTGAGGAAGAGAGACGAATCATGGATGACTCCCAGACTTCTAGATTAAGCCAGTTGGGTGGTTAGTGGTACCATTTAATGAAATAGGGAACACTAAAGAAGTAACAAGTTGGAGTGGGAGAGTGAAAATTAGTTCAATTTTGAGGTTGCTTTTGAGACATCTCAGTGAGATGTCACTGGGCATATCAATTGGATATACATTCCTGGAGCTCAGAGGAGAGTTCTGAGCTAAAGGTAAAATAAAATTGGGAGTTTTAGGTATATGGATTATGAGTAAAGCCTTGAGAATGGATGAGTTCAGGGAAGGGCAAGAGAAGACCTAGCCCAGAGGAAATCCTCCAGGACTGGAGGAGCCAGCAAACACAGGATGAGAAAGAGAAGTCAAAGAAGTCCTAGAAAAACAATCCTAAGACTATGGTGGTATCACAGCGGCTAGAAAAGAGAGTGCTTCAGTGAAGGAGTAGCCAGCTGAGCTAAACACTGCCCCGAGATCACATAAGATGAGCAGGGTTACATGCCTGGTTTTTAAGTAACATGAAGTCAGGTTATCCAATAGTGGTTTTAATGTATGATAAAAAAAAGCAACTTACTGCCCCTCTCAAGATCATTTCTGGTAGAGTACTATTATTGGTGTAGGTCAATATTTGGTTTCATAGCCATACATATGATATCATTTAAAGAACTTTGAATGAAAACATCAACTGTATGGTTTTCACTACTGATATTCTGATCCTCAAAATTAAAATTTTTTAAAAATTTTAAACATATCTTTGAGTTTAAAGAAACAATGAGAAATTGGACTTATTTTATTTCTTAAGCCTGATTCTGTGAATCCTTTCAATCCTTGAATCCAACTACTGTTAGTACTTTAAGGCAGGCCCCTTTCCAACTGTCCATTTTCATATTTGTCAAGTAGTCTAACAGATTTACAGCCCTAAATCCAGCTCTGCCACTTACTAGCTAGGTAACCTAGGGCACATTCCTTTCTGAATCTCCTTCCTCTTCTGTCAGATGGAAATATAGTTTCCAACTTGAAGCTTATTGTGAACAATAAATAAAATATGTGAAGGGCCTGGCATATAATAAGCATTCCATAAATGCTAGTCATTTCCCAGACTAAAATTGTGCCAAAACAAAAATCTATTTTCATAACATTTGTATCTTAGTTTAAATCCAATTAAAAATGAGTTAACTGCATAGACCAACACTATTACAATAGTTATTTAGAATTTGCTATTTTACAGAGCTGAAGAACCTATGCATTATGGAAACATAATGTATGACAGAAGGGTGATCCGAGGCAATACTTATGCTCTACAGACAGGACCACTGGTAAGCATAATTTGAATATTCTAACACAGAGCTTTTCAAACTACTTGTGCTGAAGGACCAGTTTGTTTGTTTTAATTTCTAATTTGCTTCAGACTAAAACAGTTATAAAATACTGATAGATTACTAGAAAAATTAAATTAAAAAAAAAAAAGACATGCTAAATACAAGGCTGATGGTGGGTGCCAGGGACTAAGAGAGTGGGGGAATAGGGAATTAGTGTTTAATGGGTACAGAGGTTCAGTTTTACAAAAAGAAGAGTCTGAAGATGGATGGTGGTAATGGTTGTACAACAATGTGAATGTACTTAATGCCACTGGATTCTACACTTAAAAATGGCTAAGATGGTAAGTTTTATGTGTACTTTACCACAATTAAAAACAATGTTAAAAATACAAAACCCCCAATATTTTATTAGATTAACAGAACTTTGTAAAACTGCTCTAAAAGCTTATAAACTTTTACTCTCAATTTCTATAATTAAATTTTTACAGACCAGCTTAAACAGTTCACACACAACACTTTGAGTAGCACTGGTATAACATCTTTAGGTTTGTTTAAATTATTTCATACTATAATACTATCTTCATTATTTAATCAAAAATTATTTTCTTTAATTCGCTCAACAAATATTTATTGAGTTTTAGGTCCTGTGCTGAGTACCTAGGATACAGAGATGATTAGGATGTGGCATGATATTAAGAGTGATGATTTCTTGGCACTGAAATGAAATATAGTTAAGTTAATCTGTAAACACTGTATGACATATACATGGTGATATATGGAATATCAGACATCCTGAAGCACATAAATCAAAGCCATCGAGAAAACTCACTAAAAATATTGTATGTTTCAGCCATACCCTGGATCTACTGCATTAGAACCTTCAAGGGTTGGACGCAGGAATGTGCATCATTAATAAGCTTCTCTAGGCAGTCTGGTACAGCCAGTTCAGGGACCAACATTTGAAAACAACAGCTCAAACATGCAATATAGATACGTGATTCAACATCTTGTGGCAGTAGCAATAAACATTGGCACCCCTAGAACTCAACTAAAAAGGAGAATCACCTTTTTTTTTTTAGTTTTTTTAAATTAATATTGTGATGATTTGATATACCTTTTTTTTTAGTTCTTTAGTCAATTATTCAACAACTTACCTAAAAACTCTATACTGAGACTTCCAGTTCCAGACAAGCAGGAATTTGCCAATAGCACAAGCAAACACAGGAAGACTCTGGAAGTGGAAAGAAGGAAGTGGACTGGCTAGGGACCTCAGGATTTGAGTGACACAGTGATGAGTTCCCTAAGTCTTCATATATCCCATTCAGAGCACTGGAGAAGCTTGCAACCCAGAATAACCAACAGGCACAAGCCTGCTCCCTTTATCCAAAAGACTGCAAAAGGGTAACTTAGCAGAACAGAAACCTTTTTACTACCCCTCCTCCAGCCAAACTCCAATGGAAAAACTGTCCCGCCCCTCCCAGTGGAGTCAGCAAGACGGAGCTGGGGAACTGGACTTCCATCCCCACATGGCAGCAACAATGCAGTACTAATCGGTGCTCTGATTCACTCACTGAGGTGGTATCAACAAGGGTAGAGCAGGAAACTGACCTTCCACTCTAACCCAGGGGCAGTGAGATGGTAAGAGATGGTACAAGTTGGTACCCTACTTTTCCTGGGGTGATGGCAACAGAGCTAGGAGGGAGCTGAATTTTCAATCCTATCTGGCAACAACAAAGAGAAACAGGTGAGATGAGGCAGTGTTAGAGCTCCACTCCTCTATACTCCAACACTGATGTCAGTGGATCACAGCAAGGATCTGAAATACTACCCCCACTAGGCACCAATAAGGTGATAAAAGTTGGTCCTCTGCTTTCACATGGGGCCTAGCAGGATGCTGAACTTCCATCTCCACCCATGCCTGCATGCTAAAACAAAAAGGGATGACTTCCTGCTAAAAAAGATTAAGATCCAGAATCTCACATCCTAATACCCAAAATTTCCAGGATACAAAAAAAAAAAAAAAAAAAATCACTCATCATACCACAAACCAGAGCAGTCACAGCTTGAATGGGAAAAATCCATCAAGAGATGACAACAGCAAGATGACTCAGATGTAGGAATTACCTGACAAGGATTTTAAAGCAGTAATCATAAAAAAAAAAACGCTTCAATCAAAAGTGAATAATTATGAACGTTCTTAAAACAAATGAAAAAACAAAATATTAGCGAAGAAATAGAAGATATACAAATGAGCCAAATGGGGGCACCTGGGTGGCTCAGTCGGCTAAGCATCTGCCTTCAGCTCATGTCATGATCCCAGAGTCATGGGATCAAGTCCCACATCAGGCTCTCTGCTCAGTGGGGAGTCTGCTTCTCCCTCTCCCTCTGCCCCTCCCCCTGCTCCTTCTCTCTCTTGCTCACTCTCTCTCAAATAAATAAATAAAAATCTTAAAAAAAAAAATGGAAAATATCTAAAAAGTCACAGGGCAGACTCATCAGAAATGACATAGGGAACAATCAATGAATTCAAAGCCAAATCAATGGAAATTACCCAGTTGGAACAACAGATAGAAAACAGACCACAAAAAAAAAAAATAAAAAGCAAAGCCTCACAGCTGAGGAACAATAACAAAATGTCTAACATCATGTTATCTGAGTCTCAGAGAGGAAAAAAGCCAAGGGACTGAAAAAATATTTGAAGAACCGTGTTTGAAAATTCCACAAATTTGGCAAAAGACAAAAACCTACAGATCTGAAAAGTCAGTTGAACCCCAAGCAGGAAAAACCTAAAGAAATTCACACCAAGACACATCAAAATCAAATTTCAAAACTAAAATCAAAATATCTTGATAGCAGCTATAGACACATGACACATTACCAGAAGGGGAACAATTATTTGAATAACTGTGGGTTCCTCATTTGAAACAATGGAGGCCAGAAAAAGTGGCATAGTATTTTTCAAGTCCTGAAAGAGAAGGACTATCAAGCCCTAATTCTAATCCAGTGAAAATATTCTTCAGGAATAAAGAGGAAATCAAGTTGTTCTCAGATGAAGGAAACCTAGAGGATTTGTCACCAGCAGACTTACCCTTAAAGAATAGGAAGATAGAACAATGGAATAGGTGAAAATAGGGGTAAATACAATAAACTGTCTTCTGGGTTTTAAAAATTGTGTTTGATTGTGAAGCAAAATTATAACATCATCTGATGTAGTGCTTAATATATGTAGGTAAAATATTTAAGATGATTAGATTTTTATTATATTTTAAAAGTAAGGAAAATAAGGGTATCTAAGTGGGAGTAAAGTTTCTGCCTTCCACTTAAAGTGGTAAAATGTTGATATTAAATGTTGACTGTGATCAGGTACATAGTATATTGTAAAACCTCGAACAACTATTTTTTTAAAAAACTATGGAAAGAGATATAGTCAAAAGGATTACAGATAAATAAAAAAAGAATTCTAAAAAGTGTTTCAACTAATTCACAGGAAGGAAAGAAAAAGAAAACAGAAAAATTAAAAACAGAACAAATAGAAAGCAAAAAGTAAAATGGCAGGCAGCCCTAATATGGCAATGGCTTCTTTAAATATAAATGTCTAAATAAGCCAATTAAGAAACAGATAGGCAGAGTAGATTAAAAAAAAAAAAAAAAAAAAAAACATGACCCAACTGTATTCTGTCTACAAGAAACTCATTTCATTCATAGTGATGTAGGTAAGTCAAAAGTAAAAGGAAAGGAAAAGATATACAAATTAAACATTAATTTTTAAGAAGTAGTTGTGGCTATCTAAATAACAGCTAAAGTAGACCTAAGAAAAACAATATTACCAGGGACAAAGAAGGACATTACATAATGGTAAAAAGGTCCCAATATACCAAGAAGATCTAGCAGTCTTAAGTGTATATGCACCAAACAACAAAGCTTCAAAATACATGAAGCTAAAATTGAAAGGAGAAATAGACAAATCCACAATTTTAGTTCGGGACTTCAACATCCTTCTCTCAGAAAATCAGCAAGAATGTAGAAGAACTACACAACACCACCAACCAATAGGTTGTAATTTACATTTATACAACACTTCACCTGACAACAACAGAATACATATGCTTTTTTTAAAAGATTATTTATTTATTTCAGAGAGGGAGCATGAGTGGGGGCAGGGGGGTGCAGAGGGAGAGACAACCTCAAGCAGACTCCACACTGAGCGCAGAGTCCAATGATGGGCTTGATCTCATGATCCTGAGATCATGACCTGAGCCAAAACCAAGGGTCAGATGTTTAACTGACTGCACCACGCAGGTGCCCCCGAATACATATGGTTTTGAGGCACCTGTAGAATATTGACCAAGATAGAACATATCCTAGGTTACAAAGCAAATCTCTATATTTAAGATATTTGAAATCATACCATGATGGAATAATGTCTCTTTCAAAATTTCAAACTAGAAATCAATAATAGATGATAACAGGAAAATCTTCAAACACTTGAAAATTAAGCAGCACGCTTCCAAATAATCCATAGAGGAAGTATTAAAGGGAATTTTGAAAGACTACTCAGGCCTAAATGAAGATACAACAAATCAAAATTTGTGTTTCATGCCAGAATAGTGCGGAGATGGAAAAAAGCTAAAAAGGAAAGACTTCAAATCAATAATCTAAGCTCCTACCTCAATAAATGGGGAAAAGATGAGAAAAATAAACCCAAAGCAAGCAGAAGGAAGAAAATAATAATGATAAAAGCAGAAATCACTTACATTGAAAACAAAGCAGTAGGAGCCCCTGGGTGGCTCAGTTGGCTAAGCATGGGACTCATGATTTCAGCTCAGGTCATGATCTCAGGGTGTTGAGATGGAGCCCCAAGTCAGGCTCTGTGCTGGGTGTGGAGCCTTACTTAAGATTCTCTCTCTCTACCCTCCTACCCCACTTGCACACTCTCTCTCTCTCTCAAAAAAAAAAAAAAAAAGGAGCATCTGGGTGGTTCAGTCAGTTAAGCATGGGACTCTTAGTTTTGGCTCAGGTCATGATCTCATGGGTCCTGAGATTGAGCCCCACTTCAGGCTCTGCACTTAGTGGGGTTCTGCTCGAAGATTCTCTCCCTCTGCCCCTCTCCCCCCCATGCATGTGCACTTGCATGCACATGCTCTCTCTCAAATAAATAAATCTTTTTTTAAAAGTATGCAAAAACAATAGAGAAAATCAATGGACCCAAAAGCTGGTTCTCTGAATAAGATCAATAAAATTGATAAACCTCTAGCAAGACTATCAAAGAAAAAAAGAGAAAGAAGAGACAAATAGCAAATGCCAGAATGACTTTCAGAGGGTATAACCATAGATCCTGCAACCATGAAAAGATTAAATGCCATTTCTTATCTTTGAAAAGATCAATAAAATTGATAAACCTCTAGCAAAACTAACAAAGAAAGAAAAAGAGGAATGCCTGGGTGGCTTAGTCGGTTAAGCGTCTATCTTTGGCTCAGGCTATGATCCTGGGGTCCTAGGATCAAGCCCCACATCTGGCTCCCTGCTCAGCTTGGAGTCTGCTTCTCCCTCTGTCCCCACCCCGCGTGCCCCCCCCACCACCACCACTTGTTCGCACACTCTCTCTCAAATAAATAAAATCTTAAAAAAAAAAAAAAAGGAAGTAAAAGAGAAGAAACAAATAAGCAAATATCAGGGATATAACTAGAGATTCTGCATCTATTAAAAGAGTAAAAGGATCATAATAGAATATTACAAACAAATCTATACATATAAATTCAACAAACTAAATGAAATGAGCTAATTCTTCAAACTATAAACTACCAAAATTCACCTAACATGAAATAGATATTCTGAAGTGTCTAATAACAATTAAAGAAATTGAATTTCTAATTTAAAAACTTTCAAAAAAGAAATATTCAGGTCCAGATAGTTTCACTGGAAAATTCTACCAAACATTTAAAAAAATTCTCATTGATTTTATACAACTTTACACAATCTCTTCCAGAAAATAAAAGAGGAAGGAACACTTCAGGTAATCAAAGACACTAAAAACAAAACTATAGACCAATAGCTATCATGAATGTCAATACAAAAATCCTCAACAAAATATTAGCAAATAGAATCCAGTGAGGATTCCACACTCAGCAAGGAGTCTACTTGAGATTCTCTCTCTCCCTCTCCTGCTCCCCCTCCCCACCCCACTCATGTGCTCGCTCGCTCTCTCTCAAAAAAATAAATAAATCTATGATATCATCACAACTTCAGAAAAACTATGCATTTAAATGACAATGGCCATTGTATTAGGAAAATGGGATTATGGGATAATTTTAATAAATTTTAATGTTACCACATTGTTATTTCAATTAAAATGCTTTTACAATTCTAATTTTAAATATTAAAATGTTTTTCTTGCAAAGTACTTTCATATTTCCCCTCTCTTTTCATATTTACCTTGAGATAAGACGGGTTAGCTACAGGAAATGACCATAGAATGAGATACAGATATGAAATCAAGGACCTCCAAATATTGCAGAACTACTGTAAATAATTATATATTTTAACCCTTAATCAGCTGTTGTTTTGTGCACTGGGACAGGCTTTGTTTGGACTGAGAATATTTTCTTTGTGAGCTAATATATTTTTTCAGGAATTTTGTCTAAAAGAAATTCAGATTTTTTTTAAATCCTAGTGCTTTTCAGTTCCTTAACTACACATTAAAATGTATTGTAACCGAGTAATTCTATAGTATACTTGGTTACTAGGAATTCAAGGAATTCATGGTAAAAATGCTTGAATGAGGAAAAACAATTTATTAGATAGGATTCTGCAACTGTTTATTCTAGTCATCAGTCATACTTTGAAGTTACTTATGTGCTTCATCAGATAACTTTATAATTACCTGACAAAGTTCAAACAGAACTTTAATCATGAAGTCACTGATAATCAGGAAGAATTATATGACAGATGCTCTTATGCTATCCAGGAATCACTTCTGGAATGGCAGTTCTGTATGCTTTGAGAAATATCTTCTAAATTTTAGAAGCCTTTTCTGTCACTCAGCCTGGGCAGCCTGATCCTATAGAGGTTCAGAGACAGCAGCAGGCTAAGAGGAGGGCTCTTGCCAGAAAACGAGCCCAAGAACAGCTCAGACCACGAACCCCCGAACCCGTGGAAGGCAGAAAGCATGTGGATGTGCAAACAGGTACGTGACCATGCCACGGGCATTGTGGCTCCTGGGTTTGCTCAGTTTTCTAAGTTCATTTTTTATTTGGCTTTTATATTACTTATGTATCTGTTATGCTATTCAGTACTGCCCCAGTTACATGGTCAGAGGAGTGCATTCATTAGACAAATACATAGACTATATTTTATTATTATATTGGGTACAGCTGTAGGTATGAGATGGGGTTAAAAAAGAATTTTATGACCACATTAATTCTCAGCCCTTTTCACATACTTTTTTCTCAAACTGGGATTATTTCTCACTTTTTCTTTTATACCCCAACATGAATCACTGCTGGACCTACAGGAGAAGAGAGCAATGTAGTTCTATTTTGGCATTTTATTTCTCTTGAGAGGCCTGAACTCATCCAGATCTGAGTCCTCCATCTCTCTCCCCACAGCCTCTCTCTTCTCTCCTTTTATTCTCCTTTCACTGCACACATTCCCCAAGGCCACACAGGCTTGCTCGGCCAGTGCCAGGCTTTCCTACTTGTCTGGCTGTTCTCAGCTAGGGGAGGCTTACCTGGACCTCTACGGCCGAGCTGTGTTGTTGTCAGAATCTTGATAATCAGGCAACACTTGGTGTTTTCCTTAGATTGATATAACTATTCAGGATTCACCTTGCATCTTGCCAAGATGGTGAGTGGCTTTATCAGTTATTGCTGGGTAGTTAGTACAAAAGGAAGTGAACCATTCCACGCATTTCCCTCCTACCTTGAGGCCAAGTCTAGAATGCGTATATGTCTGTAATTAGCCAATGTAGTGTAATTCTACGTGAGCTAAATTTTAGTGTTCTTTATACCATCAGAATTTTAAGTTTTCCTATATCTCAGAGACTATTCCAGTCTTCTACCTGTGTATCTCCTTTATTATTAAAGACTCCTTGTGACGAATAATTATGATCCCTTTTACAGATAAAGAAACTAAGGCTCTAAGAAGATATAACTTGACTAGGTCCTATGTTCAACATCTGACTCCAGTTCTCATGTTCTTTGCATGATACCACACTGCCCTTGCCTCACATATATTATTCCTAAAGTGAAATTTGTTTTCATGTATCTGTTTATAGTCTATAGCCTAAAGGGAACATCAAGTAACATAGTGACATGGTGCCTAATTTTTTAAATATTCAGGAATTTTGAAATCTTTATACATTTACTATCTTAGGACTCAGTTATACAGATGGATTACTAACTTTCCATTCCCGATCATACTTTGCATCTTACATACATCTAGGCTTCATGTTCTTCTTTATTTTCATTTTCAAGTACAAAACTCAGTGCTTTCTCAACATTCCAGAAATGTCCTAGCCTGACTGACTCTGTGGTCTTCCAAATACATAAAACTGCTTAGTACAGTATGTGAATTTAATCCCACACTTGAGCGCTTCTTTTCTAATCCATTTAATTCTGTTTTGTAGAAGCTAAAGTTTCAATACACATATATGCTTGAAATAGACAAGAATTTCAAACTCAATGTATATGGTATTCTCTTAGAAATATACCTTGAAGAAATTGCTGACCGCATAACAGAAGTTGATATGGAATGCCAAACAGATGCATTTTTGGACAGACCACCAACACCACTCTTTATTCCTGCCAAAACTGGCAAAGATGTGGCCACCCAAATACTAGAAGGAGAGGTATAGTACATTATTTGGACTTCCTTCTATCTTCTTTATAAATAGGTGAAGTTAGGTTTAGTTAAAAGCTTACAAACCACTTCATAATCAGAAAGATTCCACTTACTGGATTTCTTTCCAAATGTACCTATAATAGTTTTATCCTGAAATAGAGTGTTCTAATTTCCCCTCTTCACTGATCAGATATAAAAATCATTAGAAATATTTATAGAATATCTGCACCTTGATTCTTGTGTGTTTGCATACTTAATATATGGATACAAGGTAAATTTGTACCAAATAAAGAAAAATAGTATCTCGGGTATAAGAGGTTCCACTATTAGTTGCTTTTAAATTATATAGTTTTCATGAAGATAATCTATGTTAGAGAAAAAATCCTAAAATAATTACATTTTCATGTCAATGTAGAATGCATAAATAGGCCAGTCTATGAAATTGAAGAGAAGACAGTGCTTACGTGCATAATGACTTATGTGAGATTTAAGACTTAATTGAAGGAACTTGAAATGGGGAAATAAATTAAGTCTTCACAAACTATATAGAAGGGTATATTTGCCTCTAAATCCTAGAGAGGAATCACCAAAATGCCCATTATTCTTGTTTCTTAGTTCCTCAGTTCTTCAAACTGTTGGTGAAAACTAGTGAAAATCTAATAGGGCAAAAATTAAGAAATATAAGGATATTTCCTTTGGGTTTCAGAGTTTGATCTTAAAATTGTTGAGTAACAGGGTTCATTTTGATGACTACATACATCTTTTTATAATTCTTGACTGATATTCTGTGTGCCCTGCAGGGCCGTTGTGAGTTTTGGAAACCATAAGTAAAGAAGATCCTCAATAAATAGAACCCTGTCATGACTGCTTTTCTGGATATTTTTTCTTTGAGCATTTGGTTCATGATTAAAATTTTAAATTTGCTTTGTCTTGTGTGTTTAAGCTCTTTGACTTTGATCTTGAAGTAAAACCAATGTTAGAAGTTCTGGTGGGGAAGACCATTGAGCAGTCGCTTCTGGAAGTAATGGAAGAAGAAGAGTTGGCTAACCTGTGGGCCAGTCAGCATGCATATGAAGAGTTACGCAATGTTGAACTAGCTGAAGTTCAGCGACTTGAAGAGCAAGAGAGGCGGCACAGAGAAGAAAAAGTATAGCATTCTAGTTTTTTTTCTTAGACAGTCTTTGGCTATTTAACAGATTATGTTCTGAATCACATGTGGTATGTTATAGAGCTAAAGATCTTTGCAAATATGTTAGAAAAGAGTTTGTTGCTCAGTTATCTCCTCTTCTGTAGATCACAGGTCTTTCATGCACAGAATCACATTCTTTAAACACCAGCTTACGTAAATGTACCTAAACAGAGTTTCCAAAAGTTTCTAAATGTAATAAATTACACATATCCCAACTAAAAGGCACTCTTAAATAACAAGATTCCTAGCGAAGGAAATATATTGGTTTGCCATACACCAGTGGCCAAAAAGTGGAGTATATTAGGGATAGGTGGCGTGAAGGAGCAGAGGATCTGGATGGAATTCTGGATCTTTTTCTCAGTGGCCAGGCCCTTCCCTATACCCCAGGGATTCTCTAGAACTTCTTTATAGAATATTTTACATTACAGCTTTTTAGAACTTTTAGTAAGAAAACTTTTAGAATCTAGTTTTTAAAATATGCCAATAACATTCAGTTAGGAAACTCTAGGCTCAGTAATCTTTAAGAGTCTGTCTGGTTCTGGCAAAAATTGTTGCCCTATGTCGGACACTGAATGGATAAATTATATATGAGTGCCTGAATACCTAAAAGAGTTCAAATAATTTCCCAAAGAGTCTAGTTTACTGAACAGAATAGCTTAGTTGTTGGGATGTTCTACTCAATACCTAATCAAATGGACTTTCAATTTTTCTCCAAAATGAATAAGTAATTGTGTAAAGGGCATAGGGCTTATGGTAGAGATTATGCAAATGCAATACTATTTTTTTACAAATGTGAAATGAATAGAGGCAATATTAGCTTTGTTGAAATAATCAGGGAAATCTTTATCAAAGGAAACTTACTTGTTTATTTACAATTAGGAAATATACTATGAAAATAATGAGTACAAACATCTAGATTTATATCTGCTTAAACTCTGAAAATAGACTTCATAAGTAACTATATTAATGCTCCCACTTCCACATGGGAGTAGAGGAGACGGTTCATTAGCTTTATAGATATCCTGTGGTCTACAAGAAGCAACAACAACAAAAGAGAGGTTTATAATTTTCAGAGCTCAATGAATCCAAACAAGCTTACAAATGAGACAACTCACTGACAGTTAACTGAAGATGTCTGAGCAACTATAATTTTCATATTGATAATAATTTCTGATAATACTAATTACAAATACATATAACTATTATTATTCTTTGATATTATCCATATAGTCAAACAAGTACATCTTCAAATGATTTTACATAAAAATGGATCAGGAGATGAATCTTACCTTAAGCTCCATCTCTTTTTTTAAAACAATACCCACCCAGTAGCTGTTGAAATTCACTAAAATCTTGATGAAAACTGTGAACCATGAATAGATTCCTTGCTGTCCATTTTTTGATACATATACGTGTCCAGATTCTTCCACTCACTAGGTCCGGCATTTGGGGAGGACATCGCGGCTAGGTAACCGTGCACTGTGGTGTTTTCTGTGCGCAGGAGCGGCGTAAGCAACAGCAGTGGGAGGTGGTCTACAAGCACAATGAGACCTCGCAGAAAGTGGCCGCTCGGGCGTTCGCGCAGCGCTACCTGGCGGACCTCCTCCCGTCCGTGTTTGGCAGTCTCAGGGACGGTGGCTACTTCTATGATCCCATTGAAAGAGGTTCGTTCGTGGAGGTGTTACAAGAAGCATCCTCCTAATGCTTCCAAGGAATCCCATGCCCATGCTTATGTTGAACTGGAATCTCTCTTTAAAACACATTTTTAAAGTCAATTATAGTTGTTTTAATTAAGTACTATTATTAATGAGAGGTATACTATAAAGATCGTGAGTTTAGGATGTCAGTTTGTCTTTACTAAGAAGCAACATTGGATAGTAGGAAGAAACACGGACTTGATGTCAAAAACTTGAGTTTGGGTCCCAGTTTCATCATCAATCAGCTATATGACCTTCAATTCCTCACGGCTGAAATAAGGGTTATTTAGGAGCTAAATGTCATATGTATGGAACATAATATGTATAAAATGTGTGCATAAGTAGTTTTTCTACTTTTTCTCAGCTGACTTCCTGTTCCGCTCAAAAACCCTTTGGGGGCAACAATGAAAGTCGTGTATTCATTTAATTAGGTGTTTCCACCATCCCAGGCACTGTATTAGGTGTGGGAGATAAAAACAAGGAGACCTGGTCTCTACCTTTAGAGAACTCACACCTGTCAGCTCTCGGTGAGCACCCGCCAAGACCCACCCCTCAGCTAGCCCCGCCAAATGAAGGGTAGGAGTTGCCATTCCTCACCCTCCTTCCTCAGCTCCAAAAGCACTTAAATCCACATAGCTTTTGTATACATAACCTTTTTCAAATGGCTAATAGTATTGTGGGGCAGAGTTTAGTAATGTTAATTTTCACTGAATACATATTCAATTCAGGACACATTCATAGAGAGAGGTCAGGTTACACACAACTCCTAGTTTACATTTATATTGTACTTTACCATTTCTGTAGTATTTTCCATACATGATAGCATTTGACCCTCCCAGTAACCCTGGGGGGGGGGGTAGATAGGGCAGATTAATTCCCATTTTTCAGAAGTAGAAACTGAAGCTCAGAGAAGTGAAATGCCTTCTCCCAAACAGCCAGGGGGAGCCGTTAGGCCTCGGACTCTGACCCCAGATCCAGTGCTCCTTCCACGCTGCCCTGCCACCCCCTGGGGTCTAGCTAGACCTCTGCTGTTAGTCAAAGAGGCTAGCAACCTTTTTTTCTCTCATGAATTGCTGAAAAAGTCAGTTACGGATCATTTAGAAGCTTGAAAATGAGATTTATGCCTCAGATTAAAAATATTATTTCTGGTAGTGAGTATAATATCCTATTGCACTCTCTCATCACCTCATTGAAAAGTAACAGATGCCAGATCCCCTAAAAAGCTATTTTGAAACATTAAAGTACATATTGTAATGGACCGTATTTTTTAAAGGCTCACACAGTAGAGTAGATTTCGATTTCAGTTTGAACAAATTTATCACTAATGGAAGCACCTAGTTTCTGACCCATTTCTAGGTGGCCTTCTTCTCAGACACTCTCTGGCCCTTGTCCCCTGATTCTTGGTCAGCTTCTCCTAGGCCCCAGGCTTCAGATGGGGGCATTCTTTCTGTCAGCATGGCTCAATCCCAGATTTGTATCACGTTTGGGTTAGAGTTCTGCTCGCAGACCCACATCTTCCTCCCCACTCCCCTCCCCTATCTCCTTCATCCACGTCAGATTGCACCTGTGCACTCAGGTCCAAAGGCCTGGATGCCAAGGAAAACCTCATAGTTTTGAAAATACTATTTTAACCACAATAGAAAGGAGATGGACCAGAACATGCATAGAGAATGTGGCAAAAGTCACTCTGTATAAATCTATTTGACATTTTGTATTAAGAAAACGGTATTGATGAATCTTCAACAATTAGGGAGAAAGCACAGATTCTTCCTATCTATAATGATTCATAAAAATCATTATAATGATTGAATTTCACTATAACAAAATTAACTTTTTTTTATTACAGATATTGAGATAGGATTCCTTCCATGGCTAATGAATGAAGTTGACAAAACCATGGAATACAGTCTGGTGGGAAGGACAGTGCTTGACAGTAAGCTCTTTTATTTAAAAGTCATTTCTGGAAGCTCCTGGATGGCTCAGTCAGTTAAGCATCTGACTCTTAATATCAGCTCAGGTCATGATCTCAGGGTCATGAGATCGAGCCCGCATCAGGCTCTGTGCTAGGCATGCAGCCTGCTTAAGATTCTCTCTCCCTCTCGCTCCACCCCCTACCCTCGCACTCACGAGTGTGCTTGCACTCTCTCTCTCCCTCAAAAAAAAAAAAAAAAAAAATCATTTCTGGGGCACCTGGCCAGCTCAGTTGGTAGAGCATACGACTCTTGATCTTGGGGTTGTAAGTTCGAGCCCCACATTGGATATAGAGACTACTTAAAAAAAAAAATCTCTTTTTTTAAATAAAATGTTTGGAAAAAAAAGTCATTTCTGAAATTTTTCAGCAGAAAGAATAAATAGGAGAAAGATGTTAAATTTTATAGTTTTAGGGGCGCCTGGGTGGCTCAGTCGTTAAGCGTCTGCCTTCGGCTCAGGTCATGATCCCAAGGTTCTGGGATCAAGCCCCACATTGGGCTCCCTGCTCGGCGGGAAGCCTGCTTCTCCCTCTCCCATTCCCCCTGCTTGTGTTCTCTCTCTCGCTGTCTCTCTCTATCAAATAAATAAATAAAATCTTTTAAAAAAAAAAGATCTCACACAAGATTTAAAAAAAAAAATTTATAGTTTTAGTTTTTAAAGTTTCATTATCTCAATTAACAAAGGCACAAATTTTTACCCTCAATAATATTTTTGGTTCTTGTGTAATTTGATCAGAATTAATATCTTCTGTCATTACTTTATAAATGATATTCTGTTAAAACAGGCATTGACTATAATTCATATTCAATGCATTAAGTGGCACAGAAGTTAAATGTGCTGACTTTGTATAAAAGTAACACAGGGAAGGGCTGAGGCCTGCTTTATGCTCATCTGTAAGTCAGCATTATAACTACTCAAATATGAACAATCACAGTGATTTTTGCACATATAATGTTTCAGTGTTGATCCGTGAGGTGGTCGAGAAGAGACTGTCTATGTACGAGCATAAGGAGGACCAGCCCCCATATGTGAAGCCTGAGGATGGGCTCGGTGGCCCTGGAGCGATGGGAGAACCACTGATGGATGATGAATTCCATGAGCAAAGTACATCACAGCCACAGAGGCCCCTTTCGGACAGAGACTCCCTGCAAAGAACACCAGGCGATGGAAGGTATACGGAGAACATGTCATCCCGAGAAAGGAAGCTTATGGAAGAAGGAGAGGATGAACAAACAATAAGGAAAACCTCAGGGAGAGAACTATTGCAACCGAGGGGAGTCTTCGAGCCATGACACCACTCAGCGGCCAGTCAGCATTGCGAGCAATCAGGTAACGATGCGCAGGTCCCCTCAGGTTATAGAAATTATGTTGTATTTACTCAACATGTCTTTTTGTCTCATGGATTGGGCAAACCAAATATGTTGAAATAATAAAACTAATTCAAAATGAAATTTAATTCATTTATTTAATGGTAGAATATCTAGAAGCTATGTTGTAACTCTAATGAGAATCATGTCTAATTACCAGCTTTCCATTACCATGAATATAACTAACAAATATATTTTCCCTTAATTTTTCTAATTTTGTGGGGTTTTTTTCTTTTTTAGTATCCTATTTAATGTAAGATATTGGTGCTGTCAGCCATTGAGACTGTCTGCTCTATAGGAAAACTTTTTCACCTAGTCCATGAAAGAACACCTAAATGTCGTGTCACCAAAAGCTTTAGTGCTCCCTCCTTGCAAGGACCAACACATACACCCTTAGTTGTGTAATACTAAATAGATCATTACCCCTTCCATCTTCAATATTCACATAAGGCTCAAGAGAGTCTATGAATTGGGGCGCCTGGGTGGCTCAGTCATTAGGCGTCTGCCTTCAGCTCAGGTCATGATCCCAGGGTCCTGGGATCAAGCCCCACATCAGGCTCCCTGCTCAGTGGGAAGCCTGCTTCTCCCTCTCCCCCTCCCCCTGTTTGTGTTCCCTCTCTCTCTGTGTCTCTCTGTCAAATAAATAAAATCTTTAAAAAAAAAAGAGAGATTCTATGAATTGGTAATATGCTCTTGTCTGTTTTTCACATTCCTGCTATTAAAACATTTCAAACAATACCAATAAGGCAAAAGTCCCTACTTGCCCTTAGGCAATTCCATTCCCCTCCTCAATGATAATCACTGTTATCATTGCTATAATTAGGTATGTACCTTCTAGGCCTTTTTCAAGATATTCATATACATATATATTTGAACATCAGAAAATATGTGGGTTCATTTTTCTTTATATAAATATAAATATTTAGTTTGCATTTTTCACCTAACGGTATAATCTTAGACCTTAAACATTAGTCCATATAAATCTCTTTTTAAAATATGGTAAGCTATTCTATATTATGACCGTGTTATAGGGAATTCACATGTGACTTTTTTTTTAAGATTTTATTTATTTATTTGACAGAGAGAGCACAGACTGAGCCACCCAGGCGCCCCCACATGTGACTTTTTAACCTGAACTTATCTGAAAAGTTTACCTGTGCTATTGAAAATCACAGATCTTTTATCTCTAAAGTCATATTAATCTTAAGCAATCATTGAAGTCCTCTGAAGCTGTAGGTAGATATAGCCTATTTTTCTCAGAATAGTTATAGATTTGTAAGCTGTAGTGATTTGAAATAACTTGCAGTTATTAACACATTTATCTTAATTTCTTTTTAAGTTAGGTACCAAAAATGTATCCACATTTTAAAAATGGAGAAAGAACTTCTTCCTCCATTTTTGAAAAGAAACACACCGTGTGTCTATATAGCATTATATGGTTCTCAAACCATTTTCCTGTATATTATACCACTTCATCATTTTAACCTCGTAGCAACCCTTCTGAGATATGCATGACAATATTTTTATTTTCATTTTCAACCAATCTTGTTGGTTAGGTCAGCCAGCAAACATTAACTGCGTGCGTGAGGTGTGCTGGGCGCCATGCGGGAGGCCAGCAGGGTGCACGCCAACCTAGTGGTGGAGCTGAACGAGGTAGGGTATGAATGAGGAAACAGCGGCTCAGGGATTCTAAGTGATTTGCCTTAAGTCACAAGCCTAGTAAGGTAATGGGATGAAAGCTGGGACCCAAATCTTCTTCCTTCTAATCCACTGTACTTTCTTGTAAATAGCCTTGAGCCCTTGTGAAGTACCAAGAATAACTTTCAATAAATTATTGCATTAGTAGCATTTTAAAAATTGGAATCACACCTATTACCATTGCTAGGTTATTCCATGTTGTTAAGTCTTTATGAGCATCCTAAAATATACAAGATTTTAATTATGGCAAGAAGAGCAAGACATTTTTTTTTAATTGGGGTCACGGTGAATCATTATTGTTACTGATTTTAAAATACCTACAATTTTAAAATGCTTTCAAAATGGATTAGATGTTGATTATCTTCTACAATTCTAATCCTCTTCTACAATAGCCTAATCCATTAAACACTTAACAGATGTTCTGCTCAACATCCAGACCTGTGCTCTATAATTCCGTGAATTAATTCAATTTATTAAATATATGAAAATCTGTAGACCCCACACTGAAATTGGTTAAGCTTAACTGCCATCCTATTCAATGCTAGAGAGAAACAGGAATGATTAAGAGGTTAGGTCTGGGGATGCCTGGGTGGCACAGTCAGTTAAACATCTGAGTCTTGGTTTCGGCTGAGGTCACGATCTCAGGGTCTTAAGATGGAGCCCCAGGTCCGGCTCCCCACTCAGCGGGGGAGTCTGCTTCAGATTCTCTCTCTCCCTCTGCCCCTCCCACTCATGCTCTTTCTCTCTCTTTCACTCTCTCAAAAATAAGTTAATAAATCTTAAAAAAAAAAAAAGTAGAGGTTAGGTCACTGTGTGTGAGAAAACTTAGAGAAACAGATTATATATTATCTGGAGAAAAAATATTGAATGGAAACTTTAAATTGGCTTGACCTACATTTGCTAATACTGTTTTTATGAGTTCTGTTCCTTTCCATTGTTTGTAACACTAAGCTAATAGAAGCTAAATAGTAATAAAATGCATGTTATGTAATGAATTTATAGAGACTGCCAGCCCTGATAGTGATAAATTCCCGTATCACTAAAGTAGGTCAGGGAAATCAAAGTAATTTTCTCCAGTGTAGGCATCATCGCGTGCAAACCACTCTGACTTCTGTTTTGCTTGGCACAGCCTTGAGAGTCACTCAGAGCAGCTCAGGGTGGTGCCTGGAAGCTCAGACACCAGAGCCAAGCCGTCTGGGCTTGCTTTCTCCACGCATAAGGTGGTTTGCTTTTGTAATTAGGAAAAAAAACTGGCTTGGGACGCCTGGGTGGCTCAGTCGGTTAAGCGTCTGCCTTCGGCTCAGGTCATGATCTCAGGGTCCTGGGATCGAGTCCCGCATCGGGCTCCCTGCTCAGCAGGGAGTCTGCTTCTCCCTCTCCCACTCCCCCTGCTTGTGTTCCTTCTCTCTCTCTCTCTGATAGATAAATAAATAAATATTAAAAAAAAAAAAAGGAAAAAGAACTGGCTTATCAGTCATGTTTTATTTTTGAAATGTGGGAGGGTGGAAGACCTGCAGAAGGAAAAAGTATTTGGAGGTTATAATTCCTTTGAAAGTTTTAATGGGGAAGGGGCAAGTGGCATTTTCATATCATATCAAAATGTTATGGTACCATAACCATGAAAATGTTAATGAGACCTTCTTCTATCCTAGAAGACTTTCATTTTCTTATCATGTTGTTAAACGTTATCAACAACAGCTATATTTTTTTTATCTGTAATCTTAATATTCTTATGTTTCACTTACTATGAAAAACTTGGCACATTATGCTTTTCTATTTTGTTTATAGGTGAATTACAGAAAATTTTTATATATATTCTATAGCTCAGTAGCCGTAGCCATGTATCTCAACTTATTTAGCATAAAGGCATTCTGGAGAGGCCCAAACAGGGGTTTAATTTCCCCACAGACCAATTAGCACCTGTTGTTTCTTAGCAGTAGTTCCTAGATTTAACCAGAACTAACCTTCTCCTGGCTTGTCAAGAATGTTAAAAATCAGGTGTCACTACAGTGAAAAATACTGTTAATGGTATTGGATTGGTGCCTGTAATTCTCCCTTTGAATAGGAGGATATTTACCTTTGTGGTTTAGTGATACGAACTTTAATTAATTTGTAACCAAAATTTAGTACACTGATAGTTCATGAAAATAGTATAAATGAAATATATGAGTTAGAAGAGACAGTAATGACACTGTAAGTTTGCCTATAAATAAAACCTACAAAGATACTAAAGAGCTTGAAACTCCAGGATAAAAATATCTTGAAGATAACATTTAAACAATTTTAAATATTTTTTGAGAAGATAGTTCAAAGCATGAATACATTTTTATCACTATATACATTTATAATTTTTTAAATATTAAGCATTTTTATTTGTGCTACTTATGTATTGTCTTCTAACATTTTAGATTTTATTAATATCCATATTTGCCACTAGGTGTCAGTAAAATTCTAAGGTAAAGTTAACTTGCCTCCAGCTTCGCACATGGTAACTACAAAGAGAGACTTGGGAGACAAAGAGTTCAAAAATACATTGTATTCCTTGGAGACTCTAGATTCACACTGAATATTTTATCTTGCCCTAAGCTCATCTGCCAGCTCTGCAGGGATGCCAGTGGACTCCAACCTGTAGTTTTAGACTGGACCTTAGCTGTCATATACCCCAGTCTTCTATCCAATACACTATGTTTGACAGACGATCATTTAGTCCTGGTTTAATCACTAAGGAGGGGGCTTTCACTTGATGAGCAGCTCTAGAATAGTGATTCTATCTCATTTAATTTTGTCTGCCCAGGCCCAGGCTGTGGTAAATAAATGCTTACTCAATTACATTGTTGGATAGTTCTCATTTTTAGAAATTTATCTTCTACTGGGTCGGAATCTGTCTCATTATAGCCTATGCTTTTTTGTCATAACCATGCCATTTGGCATGAGTATGATGCAGGGAAACAGAATAATTTTATTGCCATCTCAGCCCTATCCTACACTCCAATAAGCTTTTCCTTTTTTCCAAGTTTTTCTTTCTCGGAGTGAAATATCACCACTCTTCCCAATTATTCCTCATATGGCAGTTTCAGAGCTTCCTCACCCTCCATCCTGGCTACTGTTACCTCGAAACTCCTCTATTTGTTCAACATCATCTTAAACACCAGAATTAGCTATTCTACTAGAGATGTAATCTGACTCAGCAGGGAGTACTGTGGGACTGCTCTCTCCCATGATTTGGACATCACCAACTCACTTCCAAATTCAGATATCTAGAAACCTCATTTTTAAAACATAGGAGTGAAAAGGGCAAAATGATTTGTAAGCAGTCACTATGTCACAAAGTCCACACACATTGCAGTGGACCATCCAAAGCTCTTTTTAAATATTGCTAACTAATTCGGCTATTTGATTATTAACTCCACAACATATTGGAAGTAGCATATTAACAAGGAAAGAGGAACTGCTGTGGGAAGACCCATAGGCTAACATTTATAAGAAAAAGGCAGGGAAGGGCGCCTGGGTGGCTCAGTTGGTTAAGCGACTGCCTTCGGCTCAGGTCATGATCCTGGAGTCCCGGGATCGAGTCCCGCATCGGGCTCCCTGCTCGGCAGGGAGCCTGCTTCTCCCTCTGACCCTCCCCCCTCTCATGTGCTCTCTGTCTCTCTCCTTCTCTCTGTCTCAGATAATTAAATAAAATCTTTAAAAAAAAGAAAAAAAGAAAAAGAAAAAGGCAGGGAAAAAAGCAATAACTCAAAAAGCACAGCAGTCTGGAGCCAAAGTTGAATGTTCCTCAGCATGCCCTGAATACATCATTACATTACAGCACAGTACAGAGATTACTGTTTATGGAGGAAACACTTCTGGAATAGTGGAGTAAGGACCTCTGGAAATCTCCCCCATAAGGGCAAGGAGAACACAGGCAAAAATTGTCAAAAATCAACATTTAAGAACTCTGGAAATTAACCAAGAATTTACAACAATGAACAACATTTATTCAAGAAAAATGACTGAATCTCAGTAAAAACAGTAAGCCTTGTGGCATTTGCCCTATTCCCTTGCCCTATTCCCATCTCCTTCTTCCCAGTTCCATGATAACCACGAAAACCAACAGATTCAGAACCACAGTAACTGAGAAAACCAGTAGCCTATCAGCCATTAAAGAGAAGCAAAATGGGCTTAG